GGAGAATATTGATGGAAGGCAGAGAGTCACCTGATGAGCTTGTGCGAATGGAAGGCGGAAAGAGGGCAGGGGGTGGCCTTAGCAAAAGGAGAAAAGCTACAAAGAGTCTATAAGCGGTGGGAAAGTAACTGAAGCTGAGGTGCCAGGTCAAGATCGATAACATTGCAGATTTTTCTTGGGATTTTATCAAGGGACTTAAAATACCTTAGAGCCCCACCCCACTCTACCTTCCATCAGTATGGCTGATGCTAACCTCCGTTGAGCTTTATCGAGCTAACGTTCTCAGATGACATAAAGTGGAAAGACTACATTAAATCCTTTGCTAGCTCAGTTGCTATGAAAGTTGATTCACTGTGTCTTGCGAGGCAATTTTTTCATTCCAGAATCTATGTTACGTATCTATAAGTCTACCATTCGTCCATGCTTAGAATATTGCTGCCACATATGGTCCGATGCACCTGCTATTTACCTTGAATTTGATAAAATCCAAAGAAGAATCAGCAATATTATTGGTCCTGATGTGGCGGCTCGGCTTCAGTCACTTGTCCACCGCCGTAAGGTTATCTCTCTGCCTTTTCTATAAATATTTTCAAGGTAATTGTTCGGATGAGCTCTTCAAATTCAGCGTAGTACTAGACTGGCATTGAGACCACATTAATTCACAGTTGAGCAGGCTAATGTATAATCGTATGATAACAGTTTCTTCTCGGACTGCTGTCGATAAATTTGACGTGTTCTAACGTGTTGAAACATAAACGACTAAAAATCGGCATGAACTTTCCGGACAACCCATTAGTACAAGGAAGTTACCATTTTTCTAGCATCTTTATTGATGGTATGAATATTCGAGTTCTACTCGAGGTCTGAAGCGAGCGTCAGTGCCATTGAGCTGTAAGAGCTAGATCAGCAGAGAGATCAGCTGCTAGGCTCTGGTCATCTAGGTTTTTGAATATATCACAAGTTATATAGTGGAAGAAACCAGCCATCTTTTTAAAGTTTGAATTGAAGGACAGAAGAAAGTTAATGTTGTAACCTAGAAAAGGTTACTGAATGAGGAATAACCAAAACAGGTTGGAAATAAAATGGTAATCTTTATAACATCAACAAAATACAATACTCGCCAGCAGCGTGAAATAGGTAAACCACTACTAGTGGTGGACCACTTAGACAGTATATTACCCCCACTTGCAATAGTGTCCAACGTACTTATGTTCATGGGTACGGTATATACCAATATAGCAGGAGCATCAGACCATGTGTGGCAGCAATATTCAAGGCAAGGACGAATACATAGCAGAATCACTAGCAATATTCAATGCATGGACGAATGGTAGACTTATAAATGTGCAAGATAGATTCTGGCGAGAAAAACTGTCTAGCATGCTAGAGTGAACCAACTTTCCTAGCAGCAGACCTAGCAATTGATTCAATATAATCTTTGCAGAGAAGGTTAGTCCGAGAAGATGCAATGATTCACTCTCCCGGAGTTTAGGATCAATTAAATATTTTTTTTTAATTTCTTTTATTTCTAAAGAACGTCAGATGTAATGACGGCATCCCCTAGAGTAGCGCAGGTTCGAATCCTGCCGGGGATTGCATACGTTTGTTTGGGAGGGTAGTAATTCTGTTAAGAAAGGTGCAATAGAGGAAAAAGCCTGGGCGTAGATTAATATTTGGGTAATATTCAATGGCGGCACTCTCTAGGATTTTCCTTCTGAGTGTAGCATTTTTAAAATCAAAATGGTGGTTGAATTTATTTCTATGTATGACTAGTGCATTAGCTAAATTGTTTTTTGTGAGGTCTCTTTTGTGCTCATAAATGTGTTTTTATTTTTAATTTCTACTTGTTTCTCTAATATATTGGGAGGAACAGTTATAGCAATTTATTTAATAAATGCCTGCTTCAGTAATATTATTGCGATTAGTGTTTGAAGATCTGAGTATATCCATCATGGTTTTGGAAGTGTTTGTGACTATTTCAAGATTATTTAGATGGGATAGGTTATTCTGGATAGTGGACTTGACAGAGTTGGTCGGTAGTATTATTCATCTGTTTTCATGTAATTTATTATTGCGGATTATGCTATTAGTTTTGTTTCGGTTGTATATTTTGTATGCCTTTCTTCTTGCGTTGTGAATGAAATGATATGGGTATTGTAGGTTTTTGAATGTGTTTTCTCCCAAACAAGCGTACACAGCAATATCGTGAAATCAAAAGGAAATGTTTGAATCAGTCAACACAGCAATAATAATAATATCTCCACACGTGACAGTAATTGACTTAATTTTCAGTTAACAGTATGAAAATAACATTCTCTAAATTCTTCCAGTTGCTAAGGACATTTTGTTTTTGTTATTATTAGTTACTTTCTTTGTTATTATTTAGTTACTAAATTCATTTCGTTTTTTGCCTTGAGAAAATCCACATTGGACGAAGCGCGTTGGCAACTACTACAGTTTTCCTATTGTCATTTATATTCATAAATATTGTCTTTTCTATTGAGAAATTTTATATATATATGCTAGTTTACCTGTGCTGTCCAAAAATGGATGACATGTAATATATATAATAAAATTGGGCACATCGAGGCGGTGTAATGATGAGCAAGCTTGTCTCGCTGGAACAATTATGACTGAATAGTGAGTTCGATTCTCAATGGGCGCGCCATACTTTCGGCCTTGTGCAACATCTAAGCTACGCTTGTAAAATCACTATATATAATAAACTTCACCCAGTACGAGGTTCTCGAACCACTCAAGGTTAAGGTTACGGTTAAAATGTCTACGATGAATGGGCTAGGATATGAGTGAAAGAGAAAGTGTCTGGAAGTGAATATTATCAAGATAAGGGGGATAGATAAAAGTTAACTATTGACTTGAACTTGAACATATTAAGATTTTACTATTCAATGAAGCACTTACGCAGGTCTCTGTTCCATTTAGAATTTACGAATATGCTAAGCAGAAGTGGAAGTAGCTTGGTGTGTCGTAGCGGCCATGGTCTGAAATGGTTATCTAAAAAATATGGGGTTCATCTGAACAACTACCAGGGAAATAGTGATTATGTGTCGATGCGCTTACAACGTTGCGTCTGTGGGATATATCAGTCCATACTCAAGCAATGAGTAACATATAATTATGAAATGAAGCTTAAGTTATGCTATATTTATAGGGTAAAAGTGCTCAATATCCGGGATAGAAGTGTGGATACTGACGTCAACACAGCGTGGCAACACTCGATGTTCACTTCCTTGTCCACTTCCTATATATATCTTATTACTATAAGTTTTACACACACACACACACATACACACACACACACACACACACACACATATACATATATATATATATATATATATTCGGTATTACCCTATGCAAGGCAGTAATACCACTAAAACAAAGGATTACAGAGTGTGGAAGAATTAGCAACAGAAATATTAATAATGAGCGGAAAGAGAAAATAGTCAGGACAGTAGATAGCAATTGACATTGCATTTAAATTTTCGCAGAGTAAAGTTGGGTAGAAAGCATGGAGCCGGAAGGTAGTTCCACAAGTGAGAAGTGTGATAAAAGAAACTGCTAACATAGAACTTATTCTCAGCGTCTCGTTTTCTATGTGCGCATGCGTAGTCGCGTCAATGTAGACATCAGCTTAGTCCCATGAAATACTAAAGTAGGAAACGTACACTAATTTTTTTTCCACACTTTGTCATACATTTTTACGCGAAAATTATCCTTGATATATAAAAAATTTATACATCTTTTATGTTTTCCCCCACATACACAAACACACATACACAGACACAGACACACACACACACACATATATATATATATATATATATATGTGTGTGTGTGTGTGTGTGTGTGTGTGTGTATGCATGTATGTCGGTGAGTGTGTGTGTGTGGTTTTAAATTTATTATATCTATAAAAATAGTATGTTCATGGTTGGAGATAATTGCACATACACACACACATACACTCACCGACATACATACATACATACATACATTCATATATATATATATATATATATATATATATATATATATATATATATATATGTGTGTGTGTGTGTGTGTGTGTTGTGCACGCACGCGTGTGTGTGTCTGTAAAAATAGTGTGTTCACTGTCGGAGATAATTGCACATGTACACACACACACACTACATATATATATATATATATATATATATATATATATATATATATATATATATATATATATATTATGTATGTGTGTGTTTGTGCACACACGGGGGGTGTCTGTAAAGATGGAATCAGTGAGCCGAGTTGAAATTCTTGTTTAACTTGATGCATTCATTTTGCGCCAATACCCAAGGGGTGGGGAAGGAACATTCTCTTCTATTCTTCCGGCTATGGGTTAAAAAGTCGACTGGACTTTATTCTATCGTATTTGATGGCTGAAAGTCTAGAATTGGTACTCGAATTCAAAACTGTAAAGAAAACATTAGAAAAGCACTCCAATTTCTTTCATAAATCACATGATGAGTTATAATATAGAAACAGGAGCTGGGCAGAGTCATGATAGCCTCTATCTGGAAGAGACGCGGCACTTTAAAAAATCTCTTGATATTTTTCCTCTGCACAACTTTGTTGACACTTCTCTGCCATTTTTCATCCCTTCTAATCTTTATTTTCATTTTGCAAAAATTATCATAAAAATCACATAGCGAGGAAAGAGGGCTTGGAGAATTTGACACTTACAGGGCATATTGAAGTAAGATGGACAGAGTGAAACAGCGGGTGACCTATCTAATAATTTTGTGGAAATGGATAGCAGAACAGAGAGTATGAAGGATAGTGAAAAGACAAAACTTACTAAGAGCTATAAAGTATAGGAAGTTGTGGAGAGCCACGATCGAAGAATCATAAAATAGATATGTATATTCTATATGAGGCTTGTCGGGCTGCCATTTTCATGCATTCATTATTCTTTTCTCGCGATTATTCTTATCGCATTTTTTCAAATAAACTGATTTTTGTCTGCTTCTCTTTGAAAGAGAACATGAATAATTTGTATGATAGATAGATATGAATCGGCTGAAAGATAGATAGATAGATAGATAGATAGATAGATAGATAGATAGATAGATAGATAGATCTCTTTTTGATAAGTAAGATAACCTTACTTATTCGAGAACTGGATGTACGAAGAGCAGACGACTGTTAGCCTGGAGAGTTATATGGTTTTACCGTAAACAGCCGAAAACTCACGAAGATGAAGACGACGAAGATGAAGGTGGTAGGTAACGACCGCAGAGTGGGGTTCGCAGTTACGGTAGTTTTCGGTACCAAAGTCTGCAGAGAACTGAATCCAAGAACAAGTGGTAAAAAAAAGGAAGGAAGAGAATTCAAAGCGAATCCAAAATAAAGAGAATAGTAAGAATCAGGTGACGGGAGAAGTCTTTTAAAAAGCAAAGAGGAAAAGATGCGAGATAGCGACGAGAAAAAAAATAGAAGTTCATAAAAGAAAGAGCGAAAATAGAACGAGAAAAATAAGAATGTAAAGAGAGAGGGGGTATTTTTTAAAGCTGAAAGATATTTAAGAAAAGCATAATGAAATTTTCAGAAAATAAAGCGAAGGTAAAATTTAAGAAGAAAATATGGATTTGGCAGAAAAAGAGAAAAATAATCAATGGATATATGTGGATTGGCGGAGATAAGAGGATTTTTAAGACAATAGAAAATGAGAAAGAATGAGTCTCGAATAAAGACAGAAAGAGAAAGATAATTAGTAAGAGATTATCTGTCGATATATTTTTAGAATATACAAGGATAAAAACGGAGAGACTGTAAAAGAAAGAAAGAAAGAAAGAAAGAAAGAAAGAAAGAAAGAAAGAAATATCAAGTAAGAAGTAAGGGATAAATGATGTAAAAGCGACAGAAAGAACGAATGCTAGGCATGTGAAAGAAAGAAAGAAAAAAGAGAGAAAGAAAGAAAAAAGAAACACAGAAACAAAGAAAATAAAAGTGTTAAATGTTGTAAGAAAGAAAGAAAGAAAGAAAGTAAGAAAGAATGAATGAATAAATGAATGAATGAATGAAAGAAAGAATATCAAGTAAAAAGGGATAAATGATGTAGAAGCGACAGAAAGAACGAATGCTAGACATGTGAAAGAAAGAAAGAAAGAAAGAAAGAAGAGAGAAAGAAAGAAAAAAGAAAGAAAGAAAGAAAATGAAAGTGTTAAATGATGTAAGAAAGAAAGAGTATCAAGTAAAAAGTAAGGGATAAATGATGTAAAAGCGACAGAAAGAACGAAGGCTAGATATGTGAAAGAAAGAAAGAAAGAAAAGAAAGAAAGAAAGAAAGAAGAGAGAAAGAAAGAAAAAAGAAAGAAAGAAAGAAAGAAAGAAAATGAAAGTGTTAAATGATGTAAGAAAGAAAGAAAGAAAGAAAGAATATCAAGTAAAAAGTAAGGGATAAATGGTGTAAAAGCGACAGAAAGAACGAATGCTAAACATGTGAAAGAAAGAAAGAAAGAAAGAAAGAAAGAAAGAAAGAAAGAAAGAAAGAAAGAAAGAAAGAAAGATACTGTAACAGAAAGAAAACGAAATAGAATAGGTCTGGATTTATCGCTAGTAGAAATAACAGGTGTATAAGCTTGTACGAATGAATGTTTATACATTAATAGTTCTTTGCGTCTCTTTACCAATATGTATGCGCGCGAAAATGTGTATTCCTGTGTCTTATTGCTTACTTGCATCTTGTGTTTGTCGATTATAGGTGAGGGATTGCGGAGACGGGCATGGCGTGTCAGGTCTGAACCAGTGCATAAGCGACAATAACACTGACAAATAACACTTACAGATAGGTAAATCACCCACAGTGTGTGTGTGTGTGTGTGTGTGCGTGCGTGTGCTCGCGCACGCGCGTGCATAATAAATGCGCCGCCAGCTTTCGCGTGACGTGTAGAACATAAAACCCCGCCAAATTTACACATTTATATACACATTTAATATGATTTACACATAGATATGCATTCTGCCTAAATGTTGACACCCGAGAATTCTATCTGAAATGCCTATCAGGTCAAGCTTGTTAGCACAAACAGATATTTGAAAACTTCGAAATCATTAATATATATATATATATATATATATATATATATATATATAAAGACAAAATTTATGGTTTCTTTTAAAAAGAAAAAGCAAAAAAAAAAACAACCAGTTTCGTCCCAAGACTTATCAGTTTTTTTTATAAAAAAAAAAAAAAAAAAGGCAAACCAGTTTTTTTTTAATTATTTTTTTTTTTATAAAAAATGCCTTATATACTTTTCTTTTCTAGAATAGAAAAAAAGCTTTATAAAAGCTTGTATATTTAAATTAAAATTTATATGGTTTGATTGTTGTATGGTTTTGCCCCCGCTTAAATGAGGTGGTCATTTTGAAAAAAATCCGGTTGTTTTTTATATATTATTTTTTATATTTTTATTTTATAAAATGCCTTATATATATTTTATATATATATATTTCCTATATATATATATTATTAAATTCTATATATATATATAAAAATATTATATATATATATATATATATATATATATATATATAGATTATATATATTGGATCCGGAAATGTCAAAATTGAATCTGTTTTTTGTTGAACAAACTCTTATATGGTTGTTTGATTGTTGTATGGTTTTACGAGTTTTTTAAATTTCCATATTAATATAATATAAAAATAGTTGTGGCCTTGTTTTTGATAAAAAAAAACGTTTTTCAAAGGTAAGGTTCAGAGACTGTTGGAAAAAAAGGCAGTATCCTATATATATATATATATATATATATATATATATATATATATATATATATATATATATATTGAAACACCTGTTCTCGAACGATCATTATATCGTCTTGCCTGGTCATACCGCGAATATATTTATATGAAATGGATAACGGTTGGGAATTGGAAATATACATCTGAGTCATCGTTTTATATTCATTCCACCAATTTTATTATGGATTGATTACCAGTATCTTTGTTATTGGATAGATAGATAGATAGATAGATAGATAGATAGATAGATAGATAGATAGATAGATAAGAAGGAAGGAAGGAAGGAAGGAAGGAACAGAGTGAAAAAATAGATTGATCGCTTGATAGATAGATATGAACAGAAACGAAATAGATTGACAGATCCAGAGATAGATATGAACAGAGTGAAATAGATAGGTTGACAGTTCGATCGATCGATAGATATGGACAGACTCAGATAGGTAGTCTGCACATAGGAATCAATATTGGCTCAATACGATATATATATGTATATGTATGTATATATATATGAGTGTGTATATGTACAACATATGTATGTATGTATGTATGTATATATATATTGTGTATATGTGTGTTTATGCTTCACCTTTATAGTAGTAGTCAGCAGGTAAGCGTTTAGTGAGTTCAATCCCTATTGAGTGTTTTACGTAGACAAGCAAGTACAGAGATACACAGCCACACATGTCACAAACACACACACAAATATATATGTGTGTGTGTGTGTCTGTGTGTGAGTGAGTGTGTGCGCGCGTGCGGCGAAGATATATTTAAAAGAAAAATGAAAATTTAATTTTTAAAAAATGTCAATTTACAGTCTAAAATTACATTGTGCCTTCTCCTTCGTGCGTATTGGTAGTCACATCAGCGTAAACATCAGTTTAATCTGATAACTTCACACGTAATATTTTCCACTTCGTTATTTATTTTCCCAATATATATATATATATAGATAGATAGATAGATAGATAGATAGATAGATAGATAGATAGATAGATATTCCAGTTCTTTTTTAACAACAGTTTATTTTCTCGGTTTAGACTCGCTAATATTAATTTCAGTTTCAGAAAATAAAAGATCAAATACGGTCAGTATATCAAATAGGTGTACGAACTGAAAATAACGTTTACAATAATATATATATATGTGTATATGTATGTATGTATGTGTCTGTGTGTATTACAGGAAAAAAAAGCAAAAAATACCTCTTTGTTTTTTTGCTGTAAAAAATACATATGCTCTGTTAAAATAAACACATCGAGCTCTCTGCGAATCAATTTTAATAATTAATATTACTATCCATCCGAATTATATACCAATGGATCGATTACCTGTACTATATATATATATATATATATATATATATATATATATAAAAGTGAACATTGAGGTCAACACTCAGAGGCGACAGGCTGTTTCATGCTGGACGCAATCGTCAGGCCGCCTTCATATTTATATTTATTTACATACGCTCTATCACTTTATCCCATAAATATAGCAGACCTTAAAACTATATTTATTCTTATATATATATATATATATATATATATATATATATATATATATATGTTTGAAGATCATGAAGGCGTGAAACCTAAGATCACAAACAACTGTCTATGCCACCGCATATATATATATATATATATATAGAGAGAGAGAGAGAGAGAGAGAAAGAAAGACAGACAGACAGAGATACAAAGAGAGAGAGAGAAAGAGAGACGAAGAGACAGAGACAGAGATGTGTGTGTTTGTGTGTGTATTGAGAGAAAGAATAAAGAGAAATAAAGAGAGAGGAGTGTAACCACTCGCACTAGTACGTATAGAAACATGTTTACCCCCCCCTCACACACACACACAAGCGTATGGATATGCAATAATTTATATACACATTCTTATTTCGGCGGCATAGATGAAGGGGCCTGTTTTAGATCGATACTTAATCAACTCTTCTCCCAAAGCATTGTATTACAATGAGGTCAATCACCATGAGCTCCTTTTTATTATATCCTTGTGCCAAACGAAGTCCAGTAGTGCGATAAATGGGATCTTCTTGATGGCCATAATAATTATTTTTCCTATCAACGCCAGAGGTTTGTATTCGATCCCAGAAACAAAAGAAAAAAAAAAAACAGATCATCGAATGCTGATTTTCGACCGAATCAGGTCTCGTCCACTGGGAAAACTGGTGCAACACAATCTTTATTTCCCCCAATTATTTTCCCCCATTTGATCATGTGCCGAACTAAGGTCGGTCGATTAAATATCTATAATTGCAGCGATGATGGAAGCTTGATACGGCGAATCCAAGCCATAAACCTTCCACCCCAAGAACTCGTACAATAGTATACGCCTTGCAGACGTGATCTCAATGCTGACGACTGCACCGGGTCAATCCACTTAGCAGAGAAAGGAGACAAAGGTAGATTCCCTTTTTCACGGATCGATACTTTGCATGCTTGCGCGAAAAGACACACACGCATGCTTGAACTCAAGGGTAAGACCATGGCTCATCGTGTTGTAACGTCGTTTATATTTAATTATTTTCTCTTTTTTTTAACCGTCCTACCTTGTTTTCAAATCTCTATGTGATTATGAGAACCATCATCCATATTACTGTTAATGTTTTTTTACAAAAAAATCTATGATTATATATACAGGGAGTATCAGAAATACCTTTAAAATCTTTAGGGATGAGTTTCTCACACCAAAACAAGGTAAAATATTCATATAAACATGTGTCCAAAAGGCAATCGCTGTACCTCAACACAGCAACTCATAACAAATGTTCAAAATGTCCTCCTGCACATGTTGCAAATGATACGTAAAGAAGCAGCTCTTGAAGTCCCCTCCGGTACACTATGAGATACACGACCTGCTAGGACCACTTGACGTGTGCCGATACCTGGATCGTCTTCGACAGCCTGTAGAATGTGTTCTTCGTGTTCAGGCATACGAGCGGACCTCGATCCATAGTTTGTGGTGCCACGGATCCTGTCTCGGCAACGCGACGATAAACAACATCAAAGGTTGGATGACTCGGTTGTCTTCGGTCAGGAAACGCAATCTGATACAGCCGTGTAACCTCGCATCCATTACTATTCGTGCGGCCGTATGTAAAAATCATATCTGTCAGCTCACGATATGAATATCCTGCCATTTTAAACGAAACACTTCCCAGTTAACTCAATACTACACAAGTCAAACGTTGAAGACAGACTAGCCACAAATGTACACGAATGACAAATGTGACATAATCTACATTGCAGTACAACGTCATCTACCATAAACTTTCTTTAAACTTAATGACTCAAAAAACGAAGGTTTTGCGAACATATGTTTATATGAACTTTTCTCCTTGTTTTGGAGTAAGGAAACCACCCCAAAATTTTGTAAAAGCATTTTTGATACATCATATATATATATATATATATATATATATATGTGTGTGTGTGTGTGTGTGTGTGTGTGTGTGTGTGTGTGTGTGTGTGTGTGTGTGTGTGTGTGTGTGTGTGTGTGATATATAATTTTTTATATATCAGGGACAGTTTTAGGAGAAAGAATTTTTTGCATGATGCGTTCCGGCCTTTAGGACTTCATCAGATTAAACACGATAGAATTTACTTACGAAACGGATAAAAAAAATCTTTCCTAGATATCATGCTACACCGAGTTAACAATAGTCTAAAACTTAGTGTCCACTGCAAATCAACTAATAAAATTTATTTTATAAATTTCTGTTCAAATCATAACAGCAAAATAAAATCCGGAATGATCATCGAATTCTGTTTAAGAGCAATCAGAATTTGCAGCCCACTGTATTTACACGTACAGGAAAAATACGTTGAAAATACTTTAAGCTCTTCTAATACCCTAATTATTTCATATTCTATGCGAAACAAAAGCCTCATAAAATATTTCAAAATAGAGAAGCTGTCCTTCCTGATAAACCCATTGTATTAAAATACATTGTTCTACCGAGCAACGTCATCACAAGTGCAATTGAAAAAAAATTATCTAAACTCAACATAAAATTTGTCACAGCTACGTCTAAAACAACAACATAATTATTACAAAACAAAATAATAAACTAAAACGTGAAGGAAAAATTTACTGTATCTACTGTAATAATTGCCACAAGGAATAAATAGGAGAAACCTCAAGCAATTTAAATAAACGATTATATGAACACAAAGGGGTTTTTTACGAACAACATATTAAACGCATTAGCTGCTCACCGTAACTCATCACAATTTTGATTTTAAAAAAATGCTACTCTAATTAAAAGAGTAAACAATTTACTAAGACGAAAATGTTTAATCGATAGATCATCCACAGTAAATTTGTGTCCAGGTATTATAACGTCTCATAATTCTTGGCAGATCTTCTATTATGACAATGTTGGATATTTAGTAACAATAATTATGGAAACATGAAAAAAAAAGCATCTAAATGAAATCGACGAGATTATATACACAAAGCATATAGTAAGTTAAAAAAAAAAACATTTTAAATTTAAAATTCTCAGCATCCGTTTTTCCTTCGCACGTATGTGTAGCAGCATCAACGTAAACATAAATTTAGTCTGATAAAGTCTGTTGCGGGAATCAACACTTTTGATACGAGTATGTGGTCATTTTATAGTAAATATTTATAGGCTGTTGGAACATTTGTCCCGCAAATAATATTGGCGGAATCATGTGAGTCTGGATAAAAATAAATAACACAAAACATATAATTACAAAATAAAAGATAATTAATGCATGTTATTAAACAAAAGGAATTACATGTGTACACAATTGAAATCAAAGGAAAAGATATTAAAATTAACTATAAGAATGTGCTTGTTTTTTTTTTGTGTGTGTGGGGGGGGTCAAACAAGTGTGTGTGGTGTGTATTGAACAAAACAAGGTCTAGATTTAAAATTAAAATGCTAAGCACTGACTCATTGATTTTGTTAGAAATGAAAAAGACTCGAATTTACAAACTTTGCTTAGCACACACAAAAGCGAATCAAAAACAAAACTCATTAAATTTCACACCTTGATGCGAAATGTTTTTCGGCCAATAGAAAACTAGGAAACATTTAAAAACAAAATTCAAATAATCTTCAATTCTCAGAAACAAATTCTTTTACGGACCTTTTCGCCAGCCGACGATTTTGTTCATCGTCCAATGGAAAGGCCTGAATCATATCCGGGAGTGAATTCCCAAATGTCCTTTTCCAGCCCCACAAACAAAATAAAAGACGGGCAAGTTCGCCTGTCACCAGAGAGGAGATGAGCGCATTAACACATCCATTGACAAACGTCAAGCGATCGTTATTATTATCTCTACCTTTCTCCCTCACCTCTTTTATACTTGATAAACGAACGGAACATTTTAAGACTGGGCGATTACTTCAAAGACATTCCTACTCTACGATAACGTTCATACATACATACATACATACATACATCCACACATACGTTCCTGCCTACATACACATAAACTCATTCTTGCAAGGACTACTACGAACATTTTGACATTAGTGATTCCTTCATATGATGTATCAACCAAAATACATTAATTTTATTTGTAGAGACCTTAATTGATTTATATGTACATAAATTTGTTGTTTTACTTTACAGTTTGATTTTCTTGTTTTATACCCCTCTTATGGTGGGCTATCTAACTAACAAGGCCAAATCAAACTAATCTGTTTCAACACTCATACACTTCACTATAACGGATAACCCACTATAGGTGTACGTGTGTGTATGTGCGTCTGTGCTGGACTTCAGTCAACAGAGGACCAAAGAAGCGAACATGCGCCGGTGGCAGGGTTCTTTATCTACCTTCGACTACATCTGGAAGCAAGAAGGGAAACGAGGAAGAAAGAGAATATGTTTGCCTTTTTTTTTCTTTTTTTTTTTTTTCATAACAGCGGAGATAAGTGGGGCAACCCACAAGTCCTAAAAGACGAAACGAGTCACACGAAAACTCTTTCCACTTTGTCATATATATATATATATATATATATATATATATATATATAGTAGTATAATAATCTTATAAGTATGAGAAACTATACTCGTTCGGAAAACCTTCGGTGTCTTGATTTGGAAATAATCAAAGGGAAAAATGGTATATAAAAAAGAAAGAACCAAGAACATGTACGTTAACCGAAAGTAATCGTCTAGCATGCAAGTCCAAAGCCCAAAGAAAAAAACCGATACGAGTAGGTAAAATAACTAAATAAAGTGCTCAATACAGTGAGTTCCTTCCCTGACGATCCACTTAGGTGAAACCTTGGTAGGTTTCTCTGGCTCTCTAGGTTTAAATATATATATATATATATATATATATATATATATATATATATATATATATATATATATATATGAAAAGTGCCTGAAATCATACCACTATCTTGATGCAAGACTTGTGAAGGGAATTGGCTAGACGGAACTATTTGGGGACCGTCGATGGCTGTTCTAGCACGAAGTCACAAGTCATCGTGACCGAGAGTTTGAGCGTACTGGCTTTGTTCCGACTGTTAATCTCGCCAGATAATGCGCTCTTTCTCCTAAACTGTAACTAAGATCTGCTCACCATAGTTTCAGTATAAACCACAGGTTGGCTTTGTGGGTGTTGAACAACTGCAGGCGTCGGTAACAAGGATTAGCTAGCCACCCTAGTAAACAGGTACACTTAGATATGAGCAGCCAGCCATTATATATATATATATATATATATATATATATATATATATATATATATATATATATATATTCAAACGTTATTTTAGAGGATTTTTGAACAGACACCACGTTTTTTAAATCAATATGTA